GTGCCACAAAGTAATTCAGGCATCACCTGTTCCTGTGCATGAGACATCATGTTTTATTCAGTTGATACTATTTAGAGAGCAAAATATAGTATTCTAATTGGAAACACTGTTTTTTTAAGTCACCACTGTGTACCCAAAACCCTAGATACTGATAGAATTTTAAAGAAAGGTACAATTTTTTAAGTTGGAAAATATTTTTTAAATAAAAACAGGTAATAACAAAAACATCATAGTTTCCTACATAATAGCAACAAAATATAAATGATTAATAGGTAATGTTTTACTTCACCCTATATGAAGAACAGGTGTGGTATTTTATACATAAAATTTCATTAATGCCTTGAAAGTAAATATTACCACTATATTGCACTGGAAAACTTAAATCTTCAAAGACTTGCATAATTTTTAAAAAGGTAGAGAAAGTGGGAGAACCAATGGAATACATCTACTTGCTTATTTCCTTACAGAATACTTGCTTGGTACAGTAAAGGGTATTATCAAGGTAATCACTAGATACTCCACACAATTTGAATTGTATCTACTTCAACAATTAACTATATATTTTTCTAGGAACCTTTAATGTCCCAATTCCTTCACATTATCCACCGGACTTAGCACATGAGAACTATTAGGTAAATATTTAATCAGTTTTTAATTCTTATTTTATATTATCTTAGCATGATTATGACCAATATTAATTTAATTTATATACATTAGTATATACTTACACCTTAAACTTTCTATTTTCATGCAAATTTAGGGGAAACAGCTTGACCTCCAAATGTAGGATGAGTGTTTAAGGGCACACTCTGGGTGCACAGGTGGCTGCTGGAAGAAGCACTCACAGTATTTCAGGAGTCAGTTGTCATGAACTCATAGTGTCTGAGTCATTGAACAGTTGCCACTGCTTCTATGCATCTCTGCTAGATATATTTAATAACTGCCTTATTTCTGAAAGTTGTGAGAAGTTTTCTCTTCTGCTTTAGAAGTCAACAGCCATTTTGGGGCATTATGCCTGTATGTACAGTGTATACCTACAAACTCTCGCTGTGATATAAAATCAGTATATAAGTATATATGATCAAGTTTTAGTTCAGATAGCACAGAAAATTCCTATATTACCATGTTTCTGGTACACGTAGTGGGAAAAGGCCAGAGTGACCTTTATGGCTCCTGCAGTCTTCTTAATTGCCAAGATGCCATATTATAGGGTATCATGTTCTGTGTTCTGGTACTAATAACAGTCCGGTAAGCCAACAAGCCCTGAGAGGACCAGGAAATGATAAGAGGAAAAGTAATGAGCCCTGGGCATCTCATTTATACAACCGCAGTGCTAACCCATATTTTCAAAGAGGTAAATGTGAAAAGTAGAAGACAGTAGACAATTACTGGTGTCTGTACTGTTAGACTGAATTTAGTGAATTTACAGAGTTGCAATGTTTTAGTATTTTCTTCAATCATTGTTTTGTGCTTTGAAGAATAGCCCTTTCTAATCTAATGTCACTTTACTGGGGCCAAGTTTTCTTAACACTTGAGCTTTTCTGTAATTGGAAAAGCTCATAACAAGTGTAAAGCAGTAGTTTCATATTAGCTACATAGCTGAGATTTTCCCCCAAAAGCCTGTGCTGACAGAGGAGCTAGGAATGGGGCAGGGCAGAGATTTGAGGATTGCCTCTGCCAGCAGCTATGCCCAGCAAGATGGCTAGAGAAATTACAGATATCATCTAATAGGTTAGATAATGTTGGCTTGGTGTGGTACCTCCTGTGTCTGGTGGCTTCCATTCATGTGCATATTTCCCATGCACAGCATCAGTATTTGCTTACAACTGTGTCCAGTTTCAAACCCTGTCCTCTGTGCTATCCAAGAGTCTTTGGGAGATGAAACACTAGTCTCTCTCACTCCATGGTATCCTCACCAGCATTTCTCTATAGTGCATTTCATTACTAATCTGCTGTGTTATTTGTCCCACGGATTTTTTTTTCTTTTCTGTGTTCCATGTTCCACAGACTCCAGATAACCATGAAGTCTTGTCTAGTTTTAAGCAAAAACCACATCTTTCAAAGGCACTTATCATTAGACGTAACTGTTCTGAGGAGCGGGCTGTACAACAAGCCCCAAACCCACCTACAGAGTTCTCAACATTGCAAGTGATTTCCTATTTTGATAGCGTAGTGCTATCTTCAAACTTGAAGCTTTGCCAAGAGCATTCTGAATGCATTTTGCTCCCTTCTGAAGGCAGCCCTGGGATTAGCCTATGATATCTGTTTAGCAACTGCTAAAAATGACGTGCATCAGTCGGCTCCCTTTTTGGCTTATAAAAGAGGAAAAAAACCTTCTTTTGTGCTTATGACATACAAGTGGAGAAGAAGCCTTCTTTCCACTGACTGAATTCTTCAAAATAGCAGAAAGACCTTAAATGTCTTGCATGTACAATATATAATATGTTATTTTTTTCTGATTTTGGGAAGCCCTTTCTTTGTAAAGCCCTGTTCACTGTAAGAATGCCTGAGTGCTTTACTAAATCGTTTTTTAAGAGAGAGATTAGTGTGATGTTGAACATTCACCTTTGAGAGCATATTAATAATTAAGATGGAATCACATAGTGCACTGTTTTACATGAAGCATTTCTGATTGTTGTTTGTTGTGTTACAACCTCCAAAGAATATTTTCAATCCTCAAGCTTTGTGCAGTACTATGCACAGCATTTGACAGGATTTCATTCCATTCTTTACACTTAAAAATATTTCTAATAAAAATATAATTTAATTTCATTCCAAAGTATGGCTGCTTAAATTGTAAACCTGGGATGCCCTTTTTATGTTAACCTTGTTGGTTAATTTTAATTGTTCATCAAAAAGCATAGTGGTATATACTATGCACGTACATTCTGCTTTGCTGCAGCAGTGCAAAATATGAGTAAACTTTTCTATGTCTCTTTTAGCATCTGTATTCAAGTTGAAGAAACACACTATATAGGAATGTGAATAAATAAATTATAGATTGTGATAAATAATGAATGAACTAAACTGGCTTATATTGGATGAAATCAATGCATGGGATCTACTTGAAATATGGTGATTAATAAAGATTTATCTGAGAAAGTGAACATGATTTTATTCATATTCACATTGTGATGAAAAATCATTGAATGATTGGAACATTGAAGTAAAATGAAATTTAAGTTGTAAAAAACCACCCTAATTTCTTAGGAAAATTAATATACTAGCACAACAGGTAAAACCACAAGACAGTTTTTCAGTTGATGGACAAGAGGTGTGGATTAGCACACAGATGGTAGCACGGGAAACAGGGAGCTTATGCTATGGACTGAATTACGTTCTCTCAAAGTTCTTATTAGTGGCGGTGATACCACCGATAGCTGTATTTGGATACTGGGATTTGTTATCACGTAGGTCTAGAATGTCCCCCAAACTTCTCATGTGCTCAACAGCTGGACATAAGAGAATCCTATGGATAATGGGGTGCTCTGCTCATCAGTGGCTTCTTTTACCAAGGAGTTCAGCAGCTGAGATTATTTTATGTGGTGGGGCCTGGCTGGACAAACCTGGCCCCAGGGGGCTGAGTAGGAAGGTGTAGCGCTGTCCTGACTCCTGTGCAGGTGCTCTGCTTCCTGAAGGCCTTTAAATGAGCAGCCTTCCTTCACACAGGCCTTCTATCATAGTGTTGCACCTTGGACCTGACCAGCCAGGGACTGAATTCTCTAACACCATGAGCCAATTCTTTCTTTCTTTGAGGATCTCCAGCTTTGTGTCTCAGTCACAACAAAGTGAATAAGATAGGCCTGTAAGGATTTACAGCAAATTAAGGGAGGCTATACAGTTGGGATCTCAATACACATAGAGCTGATTTTCTTAAAATGAGGAGCAGGAGGAAGAGGAGGAGGAGGAGAAGGGACAAAGGAAGGAAGAAGATGGAATTTTTTTCTAATATTTTAGATTCATACTTCAATACACAGATGAATAACATATGTATGGGTAAAGACCAACTGTGTGTGGGCACATGCCCACTAAGAATGCACACTATTGATAAAACCTATACAATGATAAATATTTTTCTCAACAATTTAGATAGTGATTACTCTTATCTGCATAATAAATCATAGGTTATTGGGTAATATATGGTATGTATTTTAACAGCTCATGGCTTTAAAGAAGAGACAGTGAAATAAACAACTCCTTATTATAGTACAGTGTAAAACTCTGTTTAAAGTAAAAACACATATAGTAGTATGTATTTACAGTAGTACATTTCTTGCTTTGGAGTATCCTATAAAAGATGAATTATTTTCTGATTTGGTTTTGAGACAAGGGCTTAAAACTCTATGACTAAACTGTCTGTCAGCATACTGTGTGTCCCAGACTGGCCTTGAACTTTGATGTTCCTTCTGCCTCAGCTACCCAAATTGTGAGATTAGAAGTATGTGCCAACAATCTTGGCAGTGAAAAAAGCATCTTGAAGGTAGATTTTGAAGAGTATATGAGCATTTCACTCATATAAAGGCATCCCAATATATTTCAGTGAGAACAAATATCCAAAAATCTAAAACTGAGAGGAAATGATCACTTAAAATTCCAGTTGAGTGGATTAAAATGGCATGATTTTTCCTCAAATTAAATTATGTTTTTATGTTACATTTGAAAAATGTACAAATTCATTTATATGGCAAATTATGTCTACCAAATATCTGTTAAATAGCAATTAAGCACTTGAAACTGGAAATTAGATGGCCTAGCAAAATGGCATGAATACAATTATATTTCATTGTCATGATCCAAGGCTATAAATTTGTAAATGTATCAAGAAATTAAAAATTAGGCTCCTTTGTCAAATAGAAGCATACTGATTCTGTACTTTGTGTCTTGTCCAATTTTTCTTTGAGACATAAGGTCTGTTGTACTGACCTAAGCTTTGGTTTTCGCATACATTATTATTGCATTATTTGTAGTGCTTATTGTAAAGCAGTTGTTCTTTATCCCAGATTTGGCAGTGTGGAGGCTCTTTGGAAATTGTGACTTGTTCCCACGTGGGTCATGTTTTTCGGAAGGCAACCCCATACACTTTCCCTGGTGGCACTGGTCACGTCATCAATAAGAACAACCGCAGACTGGCAGAAGTTTGGATGGATGAATTTAAGGACTTCTTCTACATCATATCCCCAGGTATGTAGTTCTGGCATTTTTGTTCTTTTATAAGGGAAAATAAAATTTACACATGCTTTACTTTAGGTCTTATTTACTAAAATGTTATTTATTACGATAATATTGCAGCAAACTCTACATAAGACATGCTACATTGTCAATTTTTATTTAAATGAGAGAGACTTTTTCAAGTGCTTAAATATGACTCTCTCTTTCTCTGTCTCTCAGTCTGTCTGTCTTTTATTCTTTCTCAACAACAATAGAGCAAACAGTACACAGAGATACTCAGAAGTAATTAGCACTTATCAGGACAATTGAAAAGTTGTGTGTGTTTGAACAGGAATACTTTGCTGCCCTGTTATGGTGAATATCTGAGTTACGGAATGATTAAATAACTTCAGAAGCAGAAGAAAGAGTATCCCACATGGAAATTCATGTTTGAAAAAGAAATGACATAGTGCTGTACTTAACAATAAGTCTAAGTAAAAATAATATGAAATGATAAGGTATCCCACTTTACTTATAAAATAATGTATACAGACATAAAAGTAAAAGAGGTTATCATTGAATAATGAATTTTGAGTAATGTCATTCTTTTCTTTATACTTTTCTCTATATTTTAAATTATCTAAACTTGAATAAATTAGTACAAAACAATGTCATTTGTAGAAAATTCCATTACTGGCTAGCCAGATAGCTCAGTGGATTAAAGCCCCTGCTTAGGCAGACACAGGGACCTGGGTTCAATCCCCGTGCCCAGCTGTCCCGACCCCGGGGAATGCTGAGATAGTGACTGAGACTGGGCCTAATGGCACGTGCCTGTAATCCAGTGCTTGGGAGACTATAAACAGGAGGATCACAATGAATCCGATCTGTATAGTGAGACACGGTAGACCCTGTACTAAGCACAATAAAAATATTCCATACTGAATGGTGAGTTTGTTTAAAAAAAAGTTTTCTAGAACAGCCATGTTACTCATTCTATTAAAAAGCTAAATAGGATATCATGTCTGCATCTTATACAACATATAACCACTAGGAAGCCAGTATGCAATGTGTTAATTATTGGAACTGTCCTACCAATTCAATTTGAAACTGAATTGCTATTTATTTCTCAATAACATTATGGAAAATAAAATAAAATAAAAAGCTAAAAAACAGAAGTATGAAAAAGACAACTTACCAGAAAAAGGCAAAAACTTGTGCCATGAATTCAGAGGCTAAAATGACAAAACATACACTTATCAGGCATATAATTCTATCGACAAAATAATTTTAAATATTCCCAGTTCTGATAGCTTTAAGTCATGCTTACTTTTTTCGTATAATATGGCTATGTCATGTGGCTATATCATGTGGATCAGAAAACCCAGTTTGAATTATAGGTGGCTGGAATGATGCTTTACTGTATCTATAAGGCAATTAAATACTTCTTTTATAGACAAGTATGAAGCAAGAAGCAGCAGTGTGAACGCTTATGTGAAGCTCTCAAATTCACTTAAGGCAAAATAATGAGGGTATTACATCTGTTAATGTATGACTTCTAGGACTTTTTCACACATTTTCGAGCCTCTTTTAAGTCAAGAACCTAAGGCCAGGAGCTCTACTTCACAGATGGGTGTGTTTCTCTTGGAGCAGAAATCCAGTCCATAGGTTCACAGAGCTAAGTTCAGAAAGAACATGTCAAATCTGCAGCAAGGCAGTGACGTTTATGTCATCTTTCATTTTCTTTTGATTTCATTTCCTTTCCGATTTCAAGTTATTACTTAGTAGGAATATATGCACAAAGGTATAACAGAAGAAAGGTGTGTGTTACGTGGGATTACCTACAACTTACATTCAAACATACAACCACAAACAACTGTGACAATATATTTTATATCCATCCACAATTAGTATTATTTGTGAAAAGTTCTTAGTTTAGGGGCAAGGGGAAATTCTTTTCTCTACTCTCTAAAGATTGGCTGGAATGAGCTGGGAAAATACAAGTTAAATGGGAAAAAATAATACAAATTCATGTGTGAAAGGAGAAAATTTACACCAAAGGAATAAATCAGAGAAATGTGATTGCCTACCAGGCCAAAATGAATTGAGAAACTTGTACTCTCCTCCTGTAGGGATGGGAAAAGTAATCTTTAGCGGAGCACCTATGATCTGGGGCAAAGTCTGTAGGCGCTGTGGAACAAACAATAGATTATAAATGGTTCTCTGAGGTCTGAAACAGAGGACTTGGGGAACCTCATAAGTCCATCCAGGTCTTCCCCTGATGACAGACTTCTGTGTTTTCTCTTATATATGAGTTTAGTTAATGAAATTTAGGGAGGACACCAGACATATTCGTGTCTTCTTTGGCAAGTCTGGAGGTAGGTCCAGCTGTATAGGAAGCTTGAGAATTTTGCAGAAAGTTCTTCCTGTACAGTTGAAGGGTAGGGTAGGAGATAGGTTAAAGAGACCTTAATCCTGGTCCTGTTGTTAAGGCTGCTAATTTCCTTTAGATAAATTGTTGAGAATGAAAAATTAATTAATTAATTAATTAATTAATTGAAACATACAACAAGAAAAGAAAAACCACCTTATTTGGGGGATATTTTCCCAGACTCCCATGTTAGTTTTTGGTATACTTGTACCTTGCATGAAAAAGGCATATAAATGATAAAATCTGTTTCTCAATCTATAATGAAATTACAACTTTTAAATTTAGAATGGCAAACTCTGCTACCTGGAACTAATGTCATGTTACAGAGATTGTTTGTATATCCTGAAAAGCATACATTTTACACAATGATAAATACCATTTGGAAGGTTAGTATTCTTATAAAATGCACTCATTTAAATCCACAGTGGCACCTTAGAAAGTGTCCTAACTTCACAAGGGCATATATGCTTTCCTAATTCTTGCCCTCACCATTTCCGAACATGGTAGGTCTGCCGGCCATGGGATGGACAAGGGAGAGGGAGTAAAAGCATTCAACAATAAACTGCTTCTCAGTGGAAATTGAATGATAAAAGTAGGCCAGAGTCTAGAACTGGACACCTAAAGAGGTTCTAGTCTAGGGCATATTTCAGTTCATTCAAAAACTGAGAAAGTGAGTTTTCTTCAGTTAGTCCAAAATCTGTCATTTGTATGATAAAAATATTTAACTATTATTTATTCAGGCTATAGAGTCTGGTGGTTTCTGTACCTGAGAATACAAGTCATGAATTATTTTGCTATTATTTAGTATTGTTGAGTTTTTGATATTACATTTCCTTTAGCAATGTGTAATTTTTTTAAGAGAGAAGTTGATGTGTTTATGGTAGGGGAAAATCCAGATATGTATATCTGTGCACACAAAGAATTATACACTTTGGGCCAGGGAGATAGCTCAGTAGAATAAGCACTTGCCTGGCAGGTACAAGGTCCTGAGTTCAATCGCTGGTACTGCATAAAACAAAAAAGAATTATACACTTTAATGTACATGCACATACCACACATTTGCATGCAAGTATTTATATAAAAAAATGTGCATGGAAGCTGTATTAGTGGATGACTACGTAAATCTTTCTTTTTTCCAGAAGCACATTTATGTATCTGTTAATTTTTCCAACATGATTTGTGAGGTTGCCACTGATCCTATCAGGGCTTCTGTCAAACAAACCTCATGCACCATTTACACTGTTGTGTGGTGGGCCTTAGTGAACTAAATGCTGACAGCTTTGCTTCTTTCCAATTTGGGCTTTAAAATATCACCAGCATATTTTATCAGTTATGTAATGGATGCATCTCGTCCTTAAGCTACAGAGGTGTTTAGTCATTCTTTCTAAACGATGCTGTCTATCTGCATTTGCTACAGTGTTTTATTATTTGTATCTGTGTTAAAGGTGGTTCAGCTTTGCATTTCTAGTTATTACTGACCTCACCGTTTTGTCATCTTTTCTTAGTAATTAGAATAATAGTTGAATAAATGAATAAGTGAATTTTAAAATAACCACTTTTTTTCCTTCCTGTTGAAATCACATACTGTCTGGTTCATACGAGAGAATGAATTCATAGGAGTTGCGGCAAGTGAGAAAGCAGACTTTGACTTCTTTCTGACTCAGCCCCTCTTTAAAGAACCACTGATCAAAAAGAAGTGAAGGCTAAATAGTAAATAATGTCCTGTTGGCTTACTTTTGTACTTAGAGTGTTGTTACTTTGCCATAGTAACATTTGTACACTATAATATACTTTTAAAAGTTTAAAAAGGCACAATTAAAACGTGTAATAAAATTACCTTACAGAATAGTATATTACAAAAGTTCATTAAGTAAAATAAACCACTTTGTCATCTATTGATTTTTACTACTTTGTCACCTGTTGATCTTTACTTAACTCAGAAATACCTAGATTAATTTAAAATTTATAATGGTATCTAAGAGTCTGCGAGATAGCTCAGCAAACTAAACACCTGCTTAGGCAAGCACAGGAAGTGGGGTTCAATCCTTGGTCCTGCATGCCACACCAGCCCCACTCGCAGGCACACTGAGCCAGCTACCAAGACCGGGCACGGTGGTGTATGCCTGTAATCCCAGCGCTGGGGATGCTGAAAACAGGAGGGTCACTACCAGTCTAAGCTGCATAGTGAGACCCTGTACCAAATACATTTAAAAAAGAATCTATGAATTGCTGTATGTACCAATTGCTTTTATCTAGCTTTTTTCATAACGTGTATGATATGTCCTAATCGTCTTCCTTCATACACAATAACCATTTAGCAATATTGAAAAAGTTGATGTTGTTTAATTATGTCTCCTAAATGAATATAAGAAATAGAATCATTTTGAAATACTTGAAGAATAGATTTTTAACATTCATTTAGTGTGCTTTCTGGCTGTCTTTTTAAGAATGTGAATACTACAGCATGATGGATTTTTAAAGCCCAGTAGGCTATGAAGCCTGAGGCACGTGCTCCTAGTAATTGGGTGTTTCATTTTGAGCCAGTGCAATTGTCCCAGCAAATCTTTTGAAATGAAATGATGTAAGCAGAAATTGTTCTTCACA